AATAAAATAAAATAAAATAAAATAAAATAAAATAAAATAAAATAAAAAGTATTACCATGTGGAAATGCTTGATAAAGCCTATGCTTGTCCTGTGTTACAAAAATAATCTGACAGTTGAAAATTTAGTACCATATTCTTTTAATAATCCTAAAACATTAAATTTGTATTTCAGTATGATTATATGGGATCTGACATTAAGGCTGTATCACAGAAAATTTTCCAGATTATTGGGCTTGTCAACACTGTAAGTTTTTACAATTCCGATTTCTAATTTTATGAAAAAAACAAAACAAAACAAACCATTGACTATAATTTGCATTTTATAAGTATGAAAATTAGTTGCTTGAATATATTCTATTAATGTTCCCATTACTCTAGTGAACTTTTCTGTATTTGATATAATGGTTGATGTTTTTGTAACATTCACTGTAATCCTATTCATAGATGTTCACTCAGCTGGAATTGACTGTTATGTTAGCTTCCTTGGAACTATGGTCAGATAAAAATCAAATTTCCACTGATGGAGATGCTAATGATATTTTACAAAGACTACTGGGCTGGAAACAAGATCATCATACCCTACAGTCCCCCCATGAGATAACACACTTACTCATGTAAGTAGACAATGTTCTGCATGATAAACAGATCAATAATTCCATTAAGCTCAACTTTATATCTATCATATTCTAAGATTATTTAAATATATATATATATAATTAGATAAAAATTATATATATGACAAAATATGTACATATTATGAAGGTGATAGTTTAAAAATAAAAGCAATAATGATCAATTTTATCTTGGTGTGGTTTTATACTTAAAGTAGAATTCATGTAAACAAGTCCTAAATTTCATGAGTTTGTATATCAGCTTTCTGCAAATTATATCAGTCTAATCTAATTAATAAGATTTGTTTGTTTAATATTACCCACACAGACTAATGTATTTCATGTGTACTTTTTCACGGGATATATTTGTGTAGGTTGGTTTGTGATACAAGTTCTTTTCTTGACTTTTCAAATTTTAGTGACCTAAGGAATTACTGCATAAGGGAAACTCAGTAGCACTTCAGATAATAAAATAATAACACATCTGGGAACTAGGGGAAGAAAGAAAGGTGATAGCAAGTGAATAATTCCAATAATTTGAATAGTTTACATGCTTTCTTAGATATCCAGATTGGAACTTTTTATGTTTCTCAAGTAATTTTTTAACCTCGTGAGGTGGTTATATAAATATATGCTTTTATATTGTTCTACATAATTACACAAATACAAAGTCAAACCATCATTGTGTAGTTACAGGAAACATCCGAAATACATTGGAACAGCGTCACCGGGTGAATTATGCAATAAAAGCTCTTCTGTGGGTATTGGTATGGTATGTTGTTTCCATTCTTCACTGTATTGCTACTTTTTAACAACCTTCCACTATGTAAGTGTTTATGTAGTGCTTAAATGTTTCTAACAAGTTGGTTTTTCCTACATGCATATATTCTCCTGGGACAAAGTTGTTCAAATTTAAAAACATCTCATTGTATTACAAATTTTAACTATAATTATTATAGTACAAAGACTCATACATCCTTGCACTAACCAGTTGTGACATTTAGTAAAGTTGCCTTAGATTTTAAGTAACGCAAACACTAGCTCAAAAGTAAAGATGCCTCTGCGTGTCCAAGGTTTAAGCAAAAGCCGTCAACTTGTGTTTGCCATTTTATAACACGCCACGCTGTTTTCACAAATTTCATTTTATTCTCTTAAGAGCCAAGTAACGAACCAATATTAAATTGCTTTTATTTACACACCAATTGGTCCTTCCTGGATTTAATAATTGCATCACCTTGATTTGTCCAAAATATGGCTACCTTCTTACATATTTGAGAAAGTCTTCTTCCTCCACTCTAGAGACATTCTAGGCAACATGTCTTCTTGATCCTGCACAGCTGGAATGTGACAGTATTTGCTCTGTCTCCTTTGGAACATGTATGTTTCTGTTTCACATTCCACTGCCTCACATCCCTATCATGAGAGTTGTGTGACAGAGAAGGCATTTGATTCTTTTAAATATCTGATTAATTGTGTCAACACACACACACACACACACACACACCACACACACCACACACACACACACACACACACACACACACACACACACACACACCTTGGAATTCGCTAGTCTCTGGTTGTCTCAGCTTCCGCTTGAAAATTTAAAGCCATACTTGTCTCTCTCACCTGTTTGTAGCTTACTTGCATCCTCTAAGCAGCAGTTCTAAACCGGTGGATGGCGACAGGTTGACCTTTAGGAGTCAAATCACCCTTTCACAAGGGTCCCCTAAGATCATTGGGAAACATGGACATTAACATGATGATTCAGAACAGTAGCAAAAATTACAGTTATGAAGTAGCAGCAAAATAATTTCATGGTTGGGGGGGTCACCACAACATAAGGAACTGTGTTAAAGGATCTCGGCATTAGGAAGGTTGCGAACTACCATTCTATAGAAATATTTAAGGACTTTGTGTGCTCACACGTTCTCTCTCACTCTCCCGTATGCTGGTTATGCAGAAGCCTTTTCTGTGTGGATATTAATTGTTGACCTGATAAGTTGTATTATATTAATTTTCTGTCAGTTTTTTTGGTTTTATATTTTCTCTCTAATCCTTATTAACTCCATGCGAACATTTAAAATCATTTTGCTTCATCATCTTCTCTCTAGTTTTAGGGTTCTGTCTCTCCCCGCGGTGCCTGTAATCACTTCTTTTTGCCTCAGTCTCTCACCTACACGCTCTAGGATCCAGAACCTCCTGGCTCCTGCTCTGGGGTCTCCTGGGAACTGTAACTGTGTATCCTTTGGAAACTGTGTACCCGTGTGTGTGTGTGTGTTTGTGTTTGTGTGTGCATGGGTGAGTGCTCCCTGGGAGGCAATGGAATCACTCTCCCAGTCTTGCTTGGAGCACAGTCAGGTTTGTTTAGCTGCTTGCTCCTCTGTCTGCAGATCTCCCTTCTACCTGAGAGCACTTTTCTATGAGTCCTGACAACAGTCCTTCACTCATGGATTGAGGAAGTAACTTACTTTTTTTTTTTTCAAAAAATAATTTTTGGAAACAAACAAATAAACAAAGAAAATTTGCTAGTTTTTTTAGAACTTTTTTTTTTTTTTTTTTGCCACATGCATCCACATCCCTGCCCCTTGCTTTCCCTCTCCCTTACCTCTTTTAAATGCATCCAGTCCATTTGTGCTGTCAGATTACTCCTAGATATAAGGGTTTCACACCATTAAAAAAAAAAAAAAAGATTTTCTCTCTCTCAGTCACAATCACACGTCAATGGTTCCTCATCTAGAGGGTGGGACCTCAAAGTCACTTGCCCGCCTCCCTGCTGAGATTTTTGTCTGCCTTGAATCTGTGCCGGTCTCACGGATGTTGCCATCATTGCTGTGAGATCATGTGTACGCCCGTCTGCTGTGTTTTGTCTGGAAACCGGTTTCCTTGAAGTCGTCTGCCACCCTGACTCTATGCCTTTCTGCCTCCTCTCCCCTATAGATCCCTGGACTGTAGGGAGAAGAGTGTGATGCCTATCCCTAGTCAAGACTGAGCACACCCAAGTCTCTGCCTCTCTGCACATTGGCCATTCTCAGCAAGGAGAGGCTTCTCTGATGAGGGCTGAGAGACACCCTGACCTATAGGTATAGCAGAAAGTCATTACGAGTCATGTTAATGCTGTGTCCGTTTAGCAGAATAACAGTAGACTCTCTGACCGGGACCTATCTAGCCACAGATTCTTGATCTTGTTGACAGTGGCAGGTCTAAGTTCCATCTTGCAGAGCGGCCTTAGAGATAGCAAAGAGGTGGCTGGTTTCTGTTTGTGGGTCCGTGGTCAACAACTCAAAAAGAGATAACCCATTCCCAGGGCTGCTGATGGTAGCATATGGCATCTAGTTGGAGTATAACTTGGTTTCCTAATCCCAGAGTTTCTGAGCACCTTCTGTTGTTTCCTCAGGGATCTGTAGCCTGATGAAACGGTTCTTTTCAGCTCCCATGGTAGAAAATTGCTTTCGTCTTGTGAGCCTGAGAGACAGATACCTGAGCATCATGCCTCACTCTTATTTCCTTCACTAGTTCTTGTGACGAGTGCACGGCTTCACTAAATCTGTCGCTACAAGGCCTTAACTGTGGTGGACTGAAGGCTACAATGTAAGACAGCTACAGATGTTGCAGAGATGTCCCTCTCTGGTGTTTTTGACAACAGAAGCAGGTTACCCTCATCTGTGCCTGTTTTACATTCATTTCTGTGGCTCTGATTAAATACTCTGGCGATATACAACTCGAGGAAGAAAGGGATTCAGTCAGCTTACAATCCCAGGTTACAGTCCATCAAATCAGGAAAGTCACAGCGTCCGGATCTTCCAGCGGTCATGCCCACAGTCAAGAGCCATGAGAAATGAACGTATACATGTTTCCTTGCTTGCTAGTTCTCAACTCAGTACCCCCACTCCCTGGAGAATGGCTCTGCCTACAGCAGGCTGGATCTTTTCAGATCAATTAACTTAGTCAAGACAATCCTCCCCGACATGCCCACAGGCCAACCCAGTGCGAAGGATCTCCCATTGAAACACACTCCTCCGGTGATTGTGCCAACTTGACAAGACTAATGTTCGTAAGTCAGCCTTTTCTCTTCTCTTGTTTAAACGCCCTGTGCTGCTCTTAATTGTATGCCTTATGAGAAAAGTGCTGGTTCAAAGATTAGCAAACTACAGGAGCTCAGTTTCGCAATCGAAGAGCCAACTGTGTGCCAATAAAACTTAATTTGTGGATAGTCATATTTGAATGAAGTATAGTTTTCATGTACCACAAAATATTTTTCTTTGAAATTTTAAGGCATTTTAAAACTATAAAAACAGTTCTTAGTTGTAAACTACAGGAAAGCAAGCAGGAGCTCATATTTTTCTAAATTGTCAACTATGCAAGCATGTAATTAACTCTTTGTGTGACATGTCCTTTAATATATCTCTCTCCTTGGAGCTTTTATAAGAGTCATAACTTTGTTTCCTTAGTTCATTTAGCAAGGAATCTTGATGTTTTTATTTTTTTTACAACCCAACTCTTCATGAGGTTTATTTTTTCTTTCTATAAATTATTTCTCCCTGCTCTGATTCTCTTTGTGTTTATTTGTTTGGTTTTCCAAATTTGGTTTTTAACAAGGCAAAACAATTCATTCATTTATTCTTTCAAAGGACCAATACAGACATTTAGACAGTCACATGGATTTATGCAGAGTCAAGAACATTTTAAATACATACTTAGAATTATTGATTGAAAACCCTGACCAGAGAAGGACATAACAGCCTGATAATGTAATAATTTACAAAGCAAAAAGAAGGGAAATTTGAGCTCCTCTAGCTATAATTCCATTTTAGGTCATTGCTTAATGCGTATTTTTTATTAAAGCGGTAGATAGTAGATAGATTTAGCTTCAGAATCCTGATGTCATGGTGCACGATTACTGTGTAGGTGGCAGAAACTGTAGCTTTAGAAGCCAGACCCTGTGAGACACATCACATGCTAGCAAAACGAGAACACAATAAACTAAACGCTTATCAAAATGCCATTTTAGCTCCTGAGACCCATGGCGTTATCAAACTGCATTACTTTCCTCAGATCAATATAGTCTCATTAGGAATATAAAATATGTTTTCCATTACTTAAAAAGAGTACTCATTTCACTGAAGTTTTTCATTTTAGCTCTGGCTTCCATAGGTTTTGTTTTTATTTTTTTAGTCTTATTCTCTTTTATTTGTTTTTATTCTTTGAAATTGAAATGTAACTATGTCATTTCATCTTCTCTGTCCTCCCTCTCATCCCTCCTAGGTACCCCATCTTCCTCTCCCTCAAATCCATGACCTCTTTTTCTTTAGTAAATAAATACATAAAATAAACAAGTACAACATTTTCAGTCTGTTAACGTCATGTGTGTGTGTGTGTGTGTGTGTGTGTGTGTGTAATTTCAGGGATAACTATGTTATAAAATAACCCACAGGAGGAGGAGTGCTCTTCCCTGGAGAAGACTATTTCTTCACTCTCAGCACTTCTCAGTTACCTGTAGTTCCAGTGCCCTGCTGTTTATTCCCTTCTCTTTTACCACCCCATCTCCTCTTCCAACTGGATCCCTTTTACCTCTCCTGGTTTCTGCAGTTACTCCTGTGTACTTATGCACATTGGAAGACTTGGAGCCTGGGGCCTCGGACAAGAGAGAACATACTACATTTGTATTTCTGGGTCTGGGTTACCTCACTCCATTTGCTCTTTTATAGTTCCATCCATTTATCCGCAAAGTTCATGATGTTATTTTTATTCCTGTCTGAATAGTATTTCATTGTGTAGATGGTGGTTTCACCTCCTCCCTGTTGTGAGTGGAACAGCCATGAATATGGCTGAGCAAGTATCTGTGGAGTAGGGTATCAGGTGCTGTGAGCATACGCATAAATACGTTAGATTTATTTTCAGCATTTTGAGAATTCTCCACAGTAAAATCCAGAGTGGCTGGACTAGTTTTTGGCCCTACCAACAGTGAAGCAGGGGTCCCTTCTCCCCACACCCTCTCCAGCCTTTGTTGTCAGTTGCTTTGTTGATCGTTGGCATTCTGACTGGGGTAAGATGAAATCTCAGGTGTTTTGATTTGAATTTCCCCAATTGCTAGAAACATTTTAAAAATCATTTCTTAACATTGTTTTGAAAACTCGCCCATGTTTAAAATTATTTGTTTTGTTGTTGTCTTTCGGTTTTTTCTTTTTGGATTCTTTACATATTCTGGATATTAATATGTTAATTTTAATGCAATATGTTATTATATATCACAATATATTATATTTATGTTAATATAAATTATTATATTAATATATAGTGATATAAATATATTAATATATAACTAATATATATTAATATATTAATATAATATGTTAGGTGTATAGCTGATCACGATTCTGTCCCAGTCTGTGGTTTCTTCTTTACCCAGTTGATTGTTGTTTTTTTTTTTCCCCCCCTGCTGAAGCTATTTACTATTACAAAGGGCAGCTTGTCAATTACTGGCCTTATTTCTTGGGCAAATGGAGACCTAGTCACAGAGTCTTCACCTCCATCTGTGAGAGGAGATGCTGCCTGTGCTTTCTTCTATAGGTTTCGGGTTTCACATTGAGGTCTCTAATCCAGTTGGAATTAGTTTTGCACAGTGATCCATGTGGGTCTAATTTCATGCTTCTGCAGTTTCCCAGCACCATTTGTTGAAGCTTCTTTCTTGTCGCCGACATATGTTTCTTTGGCATCTTTGTCAAATATTAAACAGCTGAAGCTATGCCTACTCACATTTGGGTCTTTGGTTTTGTTCTATTGGTTTACATGTCTGTTGGGGTGCTATTAACATACTGTTTTTATTACTCTGGCTCTGTGATATAGCTTGTCGTCTGAAATGGTAATTCCTATGACATTATTAATTTTATTCTGATTATTTTGGGTCTTTTGTGGCTTCATTTGAGCTTTACAATGATATTTTTCCTATTTCTTTGGAAATAAGGTAAGGGTTTAGATTGGGATTGCCTTATTGCTTCAGCTAGTGCTTCAAACACAGTGCTGGAAGGGAGTGAGGACAGTGGACAGCCTTGTCCCATTCCTGACTTCAGGGGGATTGCTTCAAGTTTTCTCCGTTGAGGATGCTGTTGGCTGTGGGTTTCTCGTCTAGTTTTTATTATGTCAAGGTATATTCCCTCTGATTCTACATTCTCTAGGATTTTTGTTATGAAGGAATGTCAGATCTTGTGAAAGGCCTTTCTTGCATCTATTGAGATGGTCATGTAGCCTTTTCATCTTTATATCCATTATGTGGTTAACTGCATTTGTCGATTTGTATATATTGAACCATCCCTGCATTCTTAGAGATAAAGCCAACTTAATCATGAGGTGGATAATCTTTTTGATGTATGTCTGTGTTCTGTTTGCAAGTATTTTGTTGAATATTGTGAATTTATATTCACTAGAGGTATCAGACTGTAGTTCTCTTTGGTTTTTGTGTCTTTACCTAGTTTGGGTATTAGTGTGGTACTGGGTTCATGGAATGAGTTTGGTAGTGCTCCTTACATATATATATTTGATTAGTTCTTTTGAAAGCATGGTAGAATTTTTTTTTAAGTTGGAAAGCTTTTTATTACTATTCATGGGGATGTTGGTGTTCTGTGCTTCTTATGTCTGTATAGGTGTGTCATCTTTAGCTTGGGGAAATTTTCTTCTATGCTCTTGTTGAGGTTCTGGTCTCTGCCATCGGCTAAGGTTTCCTCTCTCATCTATGCCTACAATTTGGAGGTTTGATATTTGTATAATATCCCACATTTCCTGTTTCTGTCTCTTTTCTAAATTCCATTTTCAAGTCCTAGATTGTCTTCATTTCCATCAGCTTTATATTTGTCTTTTCTTAGGCATCACATAGACAGACATTTATTCTTCTTAATTTCATTGAGCTGTTTCCTTGTGTATTCCTTAAACTCTTTGAATTATTTCATGAAGTTTATAATTTTTTCTTTTAAATTCTGCTTCCTGAGGGTTCTTCTAAGTAATTCTGATCAGCAAACATTTCTACAGGACTGGGAGGTTTTGGAGAGGAGATCCTTGCCTGATCTTTCAGAATGCTGGTATTTTTGCAATGAACTCTGCGCCTGTGAAATTCTTTGTTAGTTCTGTGTCTGGTGTGGACAGAGGTTAGGACAAAAGAGAGGATTCAGGGATAGGTTGGGCCTAGAAGTTAGAAATGGCTTAGATGGGTGGTTCTCAGCCTATGGTTCACAACCCCTTTGGGGGTCCATATCAGACATTTACACTGCAACTTATAACAGTAGGAAAATTGCAGTTATGAAGTAACAACGAAATAATCTTATAGCTAGGGGTTGCCACAATATGAGGAACTGTATTGAAGGTGTATTAGTTTTTATTTACTATTGATATATCTTTTAGTAATGCTGCTTTTAATCCTAAACAGCTATATAACCAAATCACCACACAGAGACTATGATTTATTTAGGTAACCTAGAAAACAATGCTGGGCAATAGTTACTCCATCCTAAACCTCCAAGCCCTCCTAGTTTCCTAACATTTAGATTCACCCACTATACTTGTTTTTTGTGAAATCTTAGGTGATTTCTCATCCAGCATTGTTCCAATACCTCTCCTCCAGCCTCTCTCCTCTCCCAGCTCCTTTGCCTCCCACTCCTTCCTGTCCTCTGGCTCCTCTCCTCTCCTTCCTACTCCTTCCTCTCCGTTGCTCAACATTCTGGCTGGTTGTTTTATTTAGGCACATTTACACAAAGTTTAGACAGGTGATTCTTAGAATAAGTATCACAACACAATGTCTGGATTGAAACCAGAGAGTGGGGGAGAGAAATCAGCATTTGAATGAACAAGGGTAAGGTGTATACATTCCAAAAGAACATTATGCCAACAGAAGGGTTGCAGCATTAGGAAGCTAAGAACCACTGGCTGAGATGGAATGAAGTCAAGTGAACAGTGGGGACCAGACTGGTGTGCATAATGTGTGTCGTGGTCCACGCCTGGGATGTTGGAGGAGGGCTGACTGGGTAGAGATGTTGGGTTGGCATAGGCGGCAGAGGCAGGGTGGGCCCTAGTGGAAGCAGTGCAGGCAACTGTGTGACCAGCACAGGTTGGGGCACTGGACTGGGATCTGGCCAGATCTGGGGGGTTGAGGACGTTGTGAGGAGGTAAGCCAGCCGTGAATCAGGTGGATTCACCTTGGAGAAGGGTGCTGCATGGCACTTTTCACATCTGCAGAACTCACTATGATAGCTTTGTGACTGAAATGGTTTGGGGCAGTTTAACTTGAAAGTTGTTTCATTTTGAGGAGTTTCTTCATCTGCATGACTTTAGCCAACCATTTATTTTCAGTTAGACAACTTTAAAAGTAGAAGGCTGCAGCTCCTGTGTTACTGGGCATTAAGACTCCAGTGTCTACATTTTACCCCCAAATCTGATGTTCCCAAATTGGGTGTCATTCCCCATGCCCTGTTTTGGCTTTAACTTTCAGATTGCAACACTTAGGATTTCAAATTTAGATACTCAGACATTAGGGAAGCATACCTACTAGCTATTCTTTTTTTTTTTCCATACTGATAGAATGCTTCTGTTTTAAGCCCTACACATGTCTGCAATATGTGGTTGTTTGGTAGGTTTTTTGTTTGTTTGTTTGTTTTTGAAACAGGATTTCTCTGTGTAGCCTTGGCTGCCCTAGACTGGGATTACAGGCGTGCACCACCACTCCTGGCTTGTTCTATAGGTTTTTTTAATCACTTGATTTTAATGAATGTTTAAATAAAAACTTGCAGGTAAATTAAAGTAGCCAATTAGCATAGCTATGTATAGCAAAGTAAAGTATTATAAGGTACCCTGAACATAAAAGGAATTAGAGAATAAAATTTTGTTATTGCAAAGATATTTATTACTTGCCTTTGCGTTATTCTTATATAATTATTTCTCTCTTCAATTGTCTTTATTTTAGTATCCAGAAGACTTAGGTTTGGAGGGATTCTCAGTGGTTATTGCTCAACTGATTGGCCTGCAGATAGGATTAACATATGATGATGTCGATAATTGTTCCTGTCCCAGAGCTCCGTGTATAATGCAACAGGAAGCATTGTAAGACTGTTTATGATGAATTTTGTTTTAATTCTTCATCACATTTATTTATTTTATTTCATGTATGTTTTGCTCGCGTGTGTTTTTTTTTTTTTTATGCCGGGTGCTTGCTTGGTGCTCACTAAGGAAGGAAGAGGACACCAGATCCAAGATCCCCTAGATCTGAAATTACAGATGGTGGTGAAATATAATATGGATGCCGGTCCATCTCTCCAATGCCTAATCATGATTAATTTTATATACATGCCTCCAAGATTAATTCCATGAGTTGATAAACATTGACATTTTAATTAATTTTCATGTTATAAGTTGGAAATTCTATCCTGCTTGATAAGCTATATAGAATACTTTCCATGTGATGTCTGAGTCTGGGATGTGCTATAGGGTATTACAAAGATATTTTCATTAGAGGGAATTAGAGGAATACAATTCAATGTTGAGGAAAAATTGTGAAATCTTATTTCCATACATGATACTCTTGCTACTTTGTTGTTTAGTGATACCCTTAATAATGCAATATAGTTCTCTGGGAACTTTAGTTACTATTTGTTGTAAAGAGAAAAGAGGGAGGATTTAAAGGAGGAAAATTTGCATGCATTATGATTTCTTATCTAGAAAACTCAATAAAAACAATCCACAACTAAGACAATAAATGGAAATGTAAGAAAGAGTTTAGAGTGAGCAGTTCTAGAAAAAAAAACTGAGTATGTTAATTATTAAATGAGATGACTTATAAAATTATCATTCTTTCTGGTAAATGTACATTTAACTTAAATCATTTTTTAAAAAGCAATTTAAAATGAATTTGATGAGTTCCATGTGAAATGATGAGGCAGACATGGCATACGGTAAGAGTATTTTGAGCAGTGTAATCTGGAATTTGTGGTTCAAGGAGAGATTTTACAAGTGAGAGGCATTGTGCACTATCTGCAGATAGATAGGAACGAGGAGGAGAAAGAGGACGCTAGACACAAGACATTAAACCATAGAGGGTGGAGTCTCCACTGCATGAACAGGACTCCTAGTTCCCATTAGGCCTTGATCACAGTCACAGGGTCCTGCCCAATGAGAGAGTACACTCATAGCAGTTTGTAAGAAGCATAGTATTGCAGATTACATTCAAGTCAAGCAATCGAAAACTCAGGTTTAATTATGTTTGATTTAACCTCTTCTGAAGTATATGTTTTTATTTGAGCCATCTTGTGAGTCACATGCCCTGTGGGTCACATGACTTACCAATGGAGCATTGTCTAGATGTGGTGTTTTAATAGGCTTGTTTATCATTTCGCTTTAGGAGTTCCAGCGGGATGAAGACTTTTAGCAACTGTAGCAAGCATGACTACAGACGTTATGCTTCAAATTTTGAGGTGAAATGTGTTGGTAACCTTTCAAATGTGCAAGTGCTACAACTAAATCATTCCGTGTGTGGTGATGGAATCGTGGAAGCTAATGAAGAATGTGACTGTGGCAATGACACGGTGAGTAGCTCGCATCCATGTTTGACCACAGTTGTTCTGGTCCGTACAAAGCATGTTGTCATCGTATGTGTTGGCTATATATGATGACATCTTTACCATCTATCTAATATGTGAGAAAGAAGGAAAAAAAATAAATGAATTGCTTTTGTGATTTTCTTTTATAACACAGGGTTTTGTGTGGCAAAGGTTGACCTTGAACTTGTGACTCTCGTGCTAGTTGACTTTACTGATATGCAGCAGCACTGTGCTGCTCTTGCATTTTCCTGCCACTAAATGTGGTGCCATCTCCCTGACTTAAGAAAATGCTGGCTGCTTTTAATGAAAGAAGGAAACAATGCAGTCTTTGGCTACTATGTGAGTTTCTAGAATTATAAACAGACTTCTCTTTTGATACAGGGTTCTACTGCATAGGACCCTAACCTCATGATCTCCCAACTTGCCTCTTGGGTGCTGGCTGGGCTTTCAGATACCTGTCATGGGGTTTGGGCTGATTGTCACCATTCTTTTAGCATGTCCTCCCTGTTCACTGTTGCAGAAGAATATTTTTACTCTTTGCACGAAAAGTTTGCTGTGGGTGGGCTCCTGAGCCACAGCGGTATTTATATTCCTTATCAGAGTGGGCTTGATGGCACTGTAAACTATTGATCCTCCCTCAGAGTCACAGTGATCAGCTTGTGGATAAAACACATAGATCCAGGAGGGAGGTAAAGACAGACGGAAGGAGGGAAGCAAAATGACACTATGGATGGCTGAAAAGGACACAAGGACTCGTACTAGTGATCATTTTAAAAAGAAAGAAAGGAAACCATAACCTAAAGTACATGTAATTCCACATGCAAATACACATATATAGTTTTAACAAACTTCTCTCATCTGGGCTGACAGATCCTTCTCCAAACCCCAGAGACAACATAACAACCCCCCCGTAACAGACATGAGAAGTCCTCCTTTGAGCTGTTGGTCAGCGCTGTCTTTTTAAGAGACTCCCCAGTCATACACCCTGTTGCTAGGGCCTTTGGTTACACACATGATGGGGGAGCTAAGTCCTACTGATGAAGATAGCACACACTTCAGAAACAGGCCCCGGAGGCCCCAGAGCTGGAATTGGCCTGCACACCCCCCGAAGACTACCTTTCATGGTACCATAAGGTGTCCTGCAAGCTTCCAAAGGAGAGATACAACTGGCATTCCTACCCTGCTATGACACTTATAGACAAGACCATTGACCAGCACGGCACAATAATCCTGTGGATGCCATAGTGGCACACATACCGAATGGAACTTAAGATCCACTCAGCAAAGGGAGACCACACATAGTACTGGAAACCTCGCCCACTCATCAGTGCTAGTGAAACTGGTGATTGGAGGAGAATCTACAACCACTAACTTACCAAACCAGCGTAATCGCAAACAACAATCTACAAGCATTTTTCTTTATACCTACAGATATGTGTAGCCTTTACCCCTCATCAAGGAAACTTGTCTCAGCCAATCAAGATGGAGGGTTGTAGAGCCCAGTCCCAATGGATACATCTACAAAACACTCCCGCACCTAGCTCAGGGAACACCCACCACAGAAGGAGCAGAAATACTGAAAGAGCCAGAGGATCAGGAAGTCTTTCGTGAGACGGTGTCTCCCACATGGACATCAGAAGCTACACCTGTAAAGTCTCACCAACACGACTGCCCAAACCTGAGCGGAACAAGTATGCCACTGACACTAAGGAACAAGCCAAACTGGATGGCGGGGGTGGAGGGACACACGAGGCCTCACCCTCCACAAAGAACTGCAGGCAACTCAGAAAAGCTGGGATGGAAAGAGGTGGCCCTTCCCTGGAAAAAACACACCAGTTTGTTGGTCAGAGCCAAATGGTCAGCCCAGAAAAATATATGGACTCGGGACTCAACAGGTTATATTTTGTGATATATATATGTTTATACAAGTACATATATGCAGTTGATGAAAAAAGAGGCAATGAATTTGAAGGAGAGTGGAGAGTGGTATTGGGAGGGTTTGGAGAGAAAAAAAAAAGGAATTGAAGACATGTAATTAAAACATAATCTCAAAATAAAACAAAAACATTGAGACTTGTCCCTCATAAGAAAATTTTCTGAGAAATAGTGAACATCTTTCTTCTACAGAGTATGGAGAGCAGGGCTAACTCCAGCTGGCATCTGTTTTTTCCAAGTAGATTTTTATTGGCGCATGTTTATGTCCATTTGTGTGTATATGGTCTGTAGGTGCTTTTATATCCTAAAAGTTAAAGAGCTGCAATCTTGAAATCACTGGCTAATGCTCTCAGTTTGGTCCTACAGACACTACTGGGCCCGGACCATTCCAAGGCTCTTTGCATCAGAGCTTAGCTTGCAGGAACAGCACATGGCCCATTGGTCTGCTTGAAGATCCATACTTCAGACCAACGCTTTGGTGGAAGGCAAGACAAACATTCATAGGTGTCTCTACTTCACATTCTGAAGTTTGTGGTTATGTATATTATACATACATTAAAAAAATGCCTTGTAGAAATAAGTAAGATTACAAGCCTGAGGAAAAGGTAGGCTCAATGTAACCTCAGGAGTCCTTAAAATCTGAGAACAATATCCAGCAGAAGTCAGATGTGGCAGAGGGGGACTCAAAAGGGCATAAAGAGTGAAGAAGAGGGCATAAAGAGTGAAGAAGAGGACACAGTATGGCATCATCAAGGAGTTATAGGACAATTACAAGAAAGAATCCAGGTAGTTTCTAGGAGAAAATTCTGGCCTATACTTGATAGATAGCAAAAACAAAACAAAACAAAACAAAACAAAACAAAAAAAAGTCCAGTCACACAGCCACAAGGAATCTGGCCAACAGAATGACTCTAGAAGACTCTTTCCAGCAGTGTCCTGTAGGCGCTAGTTTTTTTAAACACTACTTTATTTGAGGGTTCCTTATACCTTATACCTCCCTTCCAACCCCCAACCCCAGGTAGGAGAAAAAGAACATTGTAAGGGAAAGGGGATGTAGCCCCCTTCTCCCTGCTGGGTAGGGTCGTAGGATTCTTTTGGGGGCAAAACCAATATCCGTCGTCAGGAAATCCAGAAGTCCAGGGAACCAGCAAACCAACAAACAGCAAACACAGCAAGCCTACTTCTCCAAGCTACTGTGCAGTCTTCCTGGGGGCTGTCATATTTATACCCCTCAAGGGCCTCAGAATTCAACTAATTCCAGCTGGCAAAGACCATGCTCCGTATGAAACAACTAACAGGTGTGGACAAACTGAAACCCCGCAATCATAACAGAACATGTTTACATACCAGAAACTGAAATGTCCATAACAGTGCCCAGTAATGACTGCAGCATGGCCGACACCCGGACAGGGACCCAGGCTACTCTAAGCAAGTGTCTGCACCGTGTCTGCCTGTGAAGCGAGCTCCCAGCCTGCGGGTCAAGACCACTGGCTGCCTTCTGAGCCTTACCTCCTGCCTTACTGCCTGCACCTGCCTTCAATATGGTTAAATGTTGCTACTTAGCACTCCTCTTCTGGAATCCAGTCATTTTATTAAAGACAGGGAGACCAGTACCACACCAATACCCAACAATGATCAACTCTAGTCTGTAGACAAAATCTGATATTTCCGTTGTCCTATGACTTCCTGAGGTGGCCATACTCTGACATTAACAGATCCCCACTCCCCTTAACTGGTCCTCTATCTTGTGTGCAGTAAGGCTCATCCAGACAGCAAAGGCCAATCAGGAGGACCTGAAATTACCAGGAGAGAAATGAAGAGGGACTGATGTGTCTTCCATAGAGAAGTCAAGGGATGTGGGTATCATCTGAACTATGTGAAAGCAAAATAAATAGCGATATCCCAGAAGTCCCCTCTATGGAGTCCCTGCAAACAGCCATGACATGAGAAGCCTCCAAACACTGTCATGACATACAGACTCCATATGCTGTTGGTTTTGTGACAGTTGTTGATGTTTTATGTCTTAAGTAGGCCATGACTAACACTGTTGGGTGGAGGAAAGAGTCTGTGAATAAATACTGTGTCTTGGTTGCACTTCCTAAAGTTTAGCTTCATTTTCAATAGAAATGTAGAGCAAACAAATCATTAATGAGACAACTGGAGAAAGTTTCTCCTAAAAAGTCACACTTCTCTCAAAAATATATTTCATATTAGTAAAGCCTAAAGCCTGAGTCAATTGCCCAAATTTTCACCTTATGGGTCAACAACTAATATAAATGCTATTTCTGTACGGCAGAGCAACCTTGGCTACATGATAGTCCGTCTCAGAAAGGAAGGGGAGAAGGGAGGGGAGGAAGAAGAAGCGGGGGCCTGTCCTAACTGGAATCCTGTTTCTGATGAAATTGCAGGAGTGTCGGTTTAGAGAGTGCTGTGACTCTGAAACCTGTCGACTGAAAGCGTCGGCACAGTGTGGATCTGGGCCGTGTTGCACGCCAAGCTGTCAGGTAAGCGGCCAGCACTTCTCAGAGGGGAAACCCGTGCGCAGGAATACAGGACTAGATTTACCAAGTCTACGTGCAATGACACAGAGGAAGCAGGAGGGATTTCATGACAAAGTACCACGGACTTAAAAAGTCATCTCCAGCTGGTGCTTCCTGGTCTATGGTAGGGAGACCACAAAACTGATCATCTTCTCAATGCTCAGACGGGATAAAATGTATACAGTACGCTGTGCCAATAGTCTGATAACTCCTAAAGTCAAATAAATGATGACTGGTGAAAATCACGTGAGTAGCAGACAAAACACACACCGGGCAAAGCAGTCACAGATTGGTAAGAAAATGTACCGAGAGCGGCCAAGATGGTTTCTGTCACTGGAATGACAACATTTTAATTGGTTTTTATTGCAGGTATACGTGTGGACACACGCACGCATATCGTGGTGCATGTATGAAGGCCAGAGGATAACTTGTGGTTTTAGGTTCTCTCCCTCTACCAAGTGTGCTCTAGGGATCGAACTCAGGCTTCAGACTTGGCATCAGGCGCCTTTAACCAGTGAGCCATCTCACCAGCACTGGCTGTGTGCATTCTTGATTCTTACACAAAAGCATGATAAACTGAAGCAGAAATACAGCAGTATCCCCAGCTATCCAACTATGGCTGGACGAGAATGCAAGCTCCGCAATACAAAATACTTTAGGGTTCCCATTCTTGCAAATCGCCAATCTACTAAAACTTCGGATGTTCCTTTCCCCCAATTGCTCTCAATTTCTTGTGGTGCTGAAGACTGAACTCAGGGCCTTGTACATTCTTGGGTTTTATGGTGTTTTTGGTTTCCTATATTTTTCTTTTTCCCTCCCTCTCTTCCTTCCTTCCTTCCTTCCTTCCTTCCTTCCTTCCTTCCTTCCTTCCTTCCTTCCTTCCTTCCTTTCTTTCTTTCTTTCTTTCTTTCTTTCTTTCTTTCCTTCTTTCCTTCTCTTCTTTCCTTCCTTTCTTCTTTCCTTCCTTCCTTCTCTCTCTCTCTTTCTTTTTTTTGAACTTGACATCCAGGCTGACTTTAATCCTGAAACCCTCCTACTGCCTTCTCCTGAGTTCTGGGATTACAGACTCATACCATCAACTGCCTCAAATTTCTACTAATATCTAACTTAATACAACGAAACTTGGTTAATGAGTTTCTGAGTGTTAGAACAGTCAACATCAGCATCTTACTCAAGGGTGGTGGTTCTGTTGCCTCCCACGGTCTCTTGCTTCTTCCCAGTTGTCTACACACAGTCTCTAACACTCACCAATTGGCTTTCTATGTTTGTAATTTTACTTTCACAAAAATATTACAACTCATTTCTGTCTAGTTACTTGTACTGGGGACTGCTGAGTCCTGTAGCAAATAGATATGAAACTTCTTTAGAAAATGGAAGAGTGACTTTCCAGAGTAAATGTACTACTCTGTGTTTCCACATATGATACTTAAAATTGCTTTGCAAATTAAATGCAAAGCAAAACCATATAACTTGTAGCTTTCTTTTACTTTTTTCTATTTAGATTTCTTAACCATCATTTTACTAGTTGCTCAGACTTCAATAATCTTTGATTAGCTGCGTAGAAGTTCTCATAATTAACCACCTTTGTATGGTGAACAAGTGCTACATGAGAACTCCAATAGTCTAGGAAACATGAAACTCATCACTGCTATTACCACTTTTCTAGCTTTTGGTGACACACAAGGAGAGAATATAATTTGAATCATGCATTCCATTTTCTACTCTCTTCATTTCCCTTTGCAAATGTCTGCCAGCTATCATATTTCTTAACATTTTAATTATGCTTTCTTTATTTAATGGTTTGCTTCTTTGTTGTGTTAAGGCTAGAACTCATGCTAGGCATGCACTCTACCCCTGAGACACACTCCTGCCCTCCGGGCAGGCTAGGCAAGTACTCTATCACTGAACTATTTCCCTGCTCTGTGCGTATGCTAGGCATGAGCCCTGTCACCCAGCCACACTCCAGCCATGTGTACACATTAACCATGCCCGAGCTATCACCGAGCTACACTCCAGCCATCACGTCCTGTTTCTTGTACCTGAAAGCCTTCCTCTACTATTTCTTGTAATCTGATCTACTAAGAATGGATTCCTTTAGCTACTGTTTGCCTAGGAAAGTCTTTATTTCTCATTGGTATTTATCATCTTGCTGGCCCTCTAATTCAGTTATATTTCCAGGGTATAAAATTCTAAATTGAAATGTTGTCTTTCACTAAAGATACTACTTTATTATTTTTCCTTTATTAAATATTAGTTCAATCACAGGTGACTACACTGTGTGTCCAACACATAGTAGGTCAACATTTGGACACTGTGACATTTGTTGTGGATGGCAGCAGATGAGAATTTTTTTTTCCAACCAGCCACAAAAATGTATCTGAACTATACAGAGAGACTCTTCTGTTCTCAAAAATCATGACCATTGGTGGTGAGATGTGTTACCACATTATTAAGCATGCATTAGTCTAAGCACTTTTGTATTAAATGAGCATGTGAGTTCCATTCCTAATTTAAAAATATAAAAGAGATTCTGTATATGTGTTCTCAGAGTCAGGTTTCAACTGGTTTCTGGGTCTTGACATCAGAGGTGGAAACAGTTGTTCTGTGCTTCTCAATCCACATGCACGCTGTGGAACAGAGGCAGGGACTGGCTGCAAGCTGCCACTGGGGATCTGTGCACATCCTGAAGTGATCCTTCTCTTGGACTTCCCGGCAGATGTTTTACCCGATTTTTCCTTTCTAGAACCCTTAGTTTGGGAAGGTCTCTTTGTCCCCCAATCAGGCACAGTCAGACATGGTTAGTCAATTTCTTTGGCAAACAATTATAGAGTCATTCACAGCCCCTCATCTTCTTTCCTGTCCCTAGCTGTCCTCAGCGGGCACGCCCTGCAGGAAGGCTCATGACCCAGAGTGTGATTTCACAGAATACTGCGACGGAGTCTCTAGCCAGTGTGTCCCTGACACTTTCGCAGTGAACGGCCACTTGTGCAGGCTGGGATCCGCGTACTGCTACAATGGGCGTTGCCAAGCTCTTAACGACCAGTGTGTCAGCTTGTTTGGAAAAGGTACTGCTTTCTTTTGTATTCGTGTTGCACGTGGATTGCTCTGAGGGCTACATGTCACGTACCATAGAGCCTAGATGAGGAAGAGCTCGGGCCACGATTTTAAGAAAGTCAAAACTGAAATTAAAGAATAAAAAAATTATAGTCATGATTGAAAATTTCCAAGAAAAATGGTATGTATGCATGCCCTTTCTCAAGGTTTGATTTGCAAAAAGTATGTTGCTTATATCTCCCAAATTATGTTAAAATGTGAATAGCAAATAAGCAGACTGTGACACCCTAATTTTCTGTTCATAATCCAGTATAGAACCATGAACCTTACAAAGCTTGGAATGGATGTCTTTCACACGTAATCCATTTCCTGACTGGGGTCTGCCAATATTACAGCTGTCACCCGCTACCTGGCCAGAGCTCCTGCTTATGATTTCTGTCAGGTTTTGTTAGTTTTGAGATAATCTCATTACATAGTTGAGGCTGCCTTTGAACTCATTAATCTCCTGTCTTGACCTTGTTCCTATATTTTATCAAAGAACGTTTTAGAGAAATCCAGATAAATCCTACATGCCTGCTGGTGTTTTTAGTGTGCCCTAATATGATTATCTATGTGTAGAGTGATTGAAATAATTTGAATGAACAAAAAATTTACAATGCAATGTTAGAAACCACAGCAGAGGGTTTGGGAAAGGAGCTAACAGGAAATTACCCTTCAGGATGATGCGAGAATCTTGTGGCTATGACTGGTCCTTGAGGTGGGAGAGCATTTGGGATGGCTAGGCCTTTCTATCTGAGACACCATGACCTGAAGGAAAGGATTGGCTTCCCACTAAAACCTGGAGAGGAAGTTCACTAAGAAAGAGCTTGAAGTCAGAGAATAAGAGAAAAACCTGCCATGGTGAGCATGATGGATGGCCTGTTATTAGGAAGGAACCCTCACAAAAGCATTTAGACGAATGGGGTACCGGTATATTCACAAGTCATTAGGCATCTGTGTAATTCTATGACCATAATGGGTTCTCTCCCAGGGAATGTGACCTGGCTAGCCACAGGTTCTTAGCCCAAATTACATTACCAGGTATGTACCGGGTACCGGGTACGTACCATCTTATGGAATTAACCTGACATCCAATCAGAAAGCGGTTGGTTACTCCTCTGACATTGTTCTACTGTTGCACTGGTGGGCGTGTCTTGCCAGGCCATTGTTTATTACAGCTTGCAGGTTCACAGCTGAAGAATTAATTACGGTGGTTAGTTTTCTGCTGTGGTAACACACATATCTGGCATTTAACACCTCCTGGCATTGTTAAAGCCAGCCAGTAAAGACGAAACTCCCAGGGCAGTAAAAGCTTGGTGGCATCTCCAGCAACAGGATCTTCCCGCTAAGTTCTGGGAGGGAACCAAGAGCAATGGTGATGACCTGTAGTGTCTGGGGGTGGTCTGTGGAACCTCATTAACCAAAGGAGATACCCCGTTCCTGACATGGGCTCCTTACTCGTTACCCTATAGAGACTAACGGGGGGCGATGTTGCCCCGTTATCAGGAAACTCTCTTTAAACTCTTGTTTCATGTATTTTTTTATAATACACTATATATCATTTCCATACTCCCTCGCTCCTCCAGTTTCACACACATTCCCCCGTCTCTCAGATTTATGACCTCTTATTTAATAAACATACGCACATATGTGGTGTACGTGCAGCCTGTTGTGTTTAGCGTTGCTCCTATATGTATGGGTTTAAGGCTGCCTGCTTGGGACTGAATGATGGTATCAGGAAGCTTGCTACAGATAAAGGCTGATTACCGCTCTCTTATCAGCCGTTAACTGCGTGTGGATCTTTCTCTAGGGAGAAAGCCCTCTACATTGGTGTGTTAACTGCTCATGCATTGTTTAGGCCCTGCTTAGGCAACATTTTTGTTGTTGTTGTTGAGATGTTAATGGATGCAGCCTCCCTAGGCAGGAGAGCAGCAAACAGCCCTGTGTCCCAATTCTCTGGCTCTTCCTCTGGCTCTTTTGCAATGTCCCGAGCCTTGGGTGCAGTGGTTGTAATGGAGTTGTATCGGCAATGCATCGTTTGGGGTGGGGCACGCCGCAGTCAATTGTCCTCTGCATTTCCACCAGTTGTGGATTTCTGTGTTGGTCTCTCTGAGGGGTGAGAGCTGCATGTACCTGTGAGTCTAAGGATAAGGACTTACAATACAGTTAGAAATGAGACTAGTTTGGGATGGCAGCAGTGGTGGATTCTCCATGGCTGCACCAGCCAGGTAGCTGCCTCGTTTACAGTGTCAGGCTTGGATTCCCTTGTGCTGAGAGTACCTTAAGCCCAACCAGACTGCTGGCTACCCGCAGGATAGAAATGCCACTTTAGGGTTCTTGCTATTCTAGTCATTATTGTGGTTTACAGCTGTTATATCTGTGTAGGACTTGAGTGCTTTGCTCCCCTGCCGACTTGCATAGCACCTTCAGATAGGTTGAGAGGTAATCCTTAGGGAGAAAGAGTTCAGGTCACATCCAGCTTGATTGTGTCTGAAGTACATAGTACAGCCCATGTTCCCCTTACTAGGGAACCCACTTGGACACTGAGCTGCCATGGCCTACATTTGTGCAGGGGTTCTAGATTATCCCCATGCATGGTCCTTGGTTGGTATATCAGTCTCAGAAAACACCCCTGTGTCCAGATTTTTTTGGTTCTGTTGCTCTCCTTGTGGAGCTCCTGTCCCCTCCAGCTCTTTCTGTCTCCCCCTTCTTTCATAAGATTACCTGCACTCTGCCCAAAGTTTGGCTGAGTCTCAGCATCTGCTTTGATACGCTGCAGTGTAGTCTTTCAGAGGCCCTCTGTGGCAGGCTCCTGTCCTGTTCCCTGTTTTCTCCCTCTTCTGATGTCCATCCTCTTTGCCTCTGAATGAGGACTGAGCATCTCACCCAGAGTTCTCCTTCTATTTTTATCCCTTTAACTTTCTTCTCTTGCCTTCTTTTGCCCCAGTGCTTCAAATACAACACTTAAAAAGGAATAGGATCATGAATGGTCCCGTCCCGTTCATCATGTCAGGGGGAGTTGCTTCAAGTTTTTCTCCATTTAGGATAATGCTGGCTATCAGCTGCTCATATATAGCTTTCGTTGTGTTGAGGAGTGTTCCCTACGGTTCTGCATTCTCTAGGACTTCTATCAGGAAGGCATGTTTGATTTATCATTGACCTGAGATTTTTCATCCCTCATCTATTCCTGTAATTTGAATATTTGGTCTTTTTGTGGTGTTCCACATTTCTTGCATGTTGCTTTTCTGTTGTTTTTTTTTTTTAATATTTTCATATTCTTTAAAAATTTCTATTATTTTATTAACCATACCTAAACATTAAGTAGTGTAAGAAATATAAACATATAGTGGTCTAGACTGGTTCTAGACTGGTCTTGGTGAGATCTCGTTGCCAGCATCTCCTAGGAATAGACTGTGCAAAAACTACAGCATTCTGAAAATCTCATTATCGTGTTTAAATGTCCCTACCATAGTGTTTGTCTCCCTTTTAATATTTTTTTAAACTTAATTTATCTTTATTATTTTATACAAATTATGGTGGATTTTTCCCAACAGATTAACAACTGAAGTTTTGAAGAGCTAACGGAAGTAGCGAGGGCTATAGGAGGCAAATACTTAATCATAGGCATGCATACACATAAAATCATTAAAAAGCAATGTGAATTGTGCCTGAGAAACAATATATGAACTTACCCTCTGATTTCTCTCTCTCCCTCTCTCTCTCTCTCACACACACACACAAAATGCATATTTAAAAAAAATTTAAGGTTGCAAAGATGGACAATGTACATATAATTCCAACCATCTGCAGGCTGAGACAGGAGATTTTCAAGTCCAAGGCCAGTGTGAGATACATAATACACCTTGTTTCAAAACAACGAAGAAATAAGTAAACACATCAATATGACCTGTAGCAATGGATATAATCCCTTTTGTTTTGTGGCATGACATTGGCAGGTTGCCCGTGGAAGTCAAACGAAGCATGAGACATGCATGCCCATTCTGCAAGGACAGTTTTATTAGTCCACGACTAAAGAGTGTGTAATCTGGATTGAAGGATATCACCTAAAGTGCATGTTTCCATTTTAGGGTCTCAAGGAGCTTCCTACGCCTGTTTTGAAAAAGTTAATTCACCACGTGAAAAACTGGAGAACTGTGGTCTTAAAAATTCATACTCATTACCTTGTGGACAAAAGTACGTATATAGGAAGTGATTTTATTTTCCGAGTCCTGTTGCTTGTCAAGAGACAAACAGTACATAAGGACAACTAGCAAGTTGCATGGCTGGGAAATATTTTCAGTGAGTGTGTGAGCACCCACCGTCCTAAGGATGAGACTGGATGGGGAGTGGGAGCACACTTATTAAGAGGAACTGCTCAGACTTGAGAAAATCAGGAGTTCTGTTCCCAACTAAGAACTAAAACTGGGTTGTCTTTTAACTCTATCTTGGCAAGAATCCTAAAGCAGGTATTTTAATTTTTTCTTTTTTTTTTGTGGCAACATGGTTTATTATACCATAGAACAGCTCCTGGGGGCAGTTACCATGTAACAAGGGCTGCTGGAATTTTACTTGTCTATTTTAAAAAGCCATAAAGGGGGCTGGGAAGATTCAACCTCAGTCAGTAAAGGGCGTGCCAGAACAGGAGTCACCGACCTCGTGGGGAGAAAGCCAGCTGTGGTGGGAAACACTTGTAATCTTCGTGCCGGGGGGTGGGGACAGAGTAAGGCAGATCCCAGGGACTCCACAGCCCCCAAGCCGAGATAGCTTGGTGAGCCAGTAAGACCGGGTCACGGAACGGAAAGGTACACAGCACTCAGCGACTGACACCCAGCGCTGTCTTCCATGTGCGGGTACACATGCACACGGGAGCACACGTGAACACCTGCATTTGAGTAACAAACCAAATGTATCGTAAAACTCCATGTGGTGTCATCATGTGTGTGATAACACAGTAGCGGCAGATATCAGAAGATGCAGAAAGAATAAGGGGTTAGCCACCTTCGGAAGCAATGTCAGGACGGCAGGTCCAGACCGGCTGAACGGTATTCGAGTCGGCCTCGGTGACCCCTGAGGCCTGTAATGGAAGATAAAGCCGTGTGTATACCCGTGAATTCGGTATAGTTCTGCCACAGTGCTAATCTGTTTGGTTTGGCCACTCACGTCTTAGCAGTCTTAGCATCATAAAACAGTGTTACCATTGCGTCGTTTTTCTGGTTGCATGCCATTAACCAAGCTAAGTGTTCACGCAATGCTTGAATTGGAATCACCGAGAAATAAAACGATGACGGAATCTCCGTGTTTCCATTTCCAGGGATGTCCTCTGCGGCAAACTGACTTGCTTCCGGCCAAATAAGAGTCAGAAAAGCAGTGCTCGCGCTGTGATGTACTCGTACGTCCACGACAGCGTGTGTCTGTCTGTACCTCTCGGGGTGTCTACCAGAGCGGACGGAGGAGATAACGCGTACGTGGCTGACGGCACCGTGTGTGGACCGCAGATGGTAACAGACGGGGGGTTCTATCTGTCTGTGTCAGTTAATGTTCATTACCATGGCCCATGGTGCCTATTGTAGTTTGAACCTGGTGCCTGTGTTCATTCCCTCTCTGGTGTTATAGGAAGCTTCCGTTATCAAGCCACGTCACTTCTTTTGAGTCTCTGGGTGAAAACAAAGAAACAAACAAACAAAAACCAAAAACATGTTTTTAACAGAAGACTCTACTAACCACCAAGTACTGTTATTTTTAGACCTAATGATTTCCAACAGTAAAAATCGGAGTTTTCACTTCACCTTGCTTCACTGCAGGCCGCATTCGTACTAGTGAAATCGTGTGCTCAGGCTTATGACTAGAATTTAAGTGTGAACAGTTTGCAAGAGGCAGCGCTGTGCTAGGAAAGCACAGCTAACGGCTATGGCACAGAGGCACGCTCGTGTGGATATGCCTATCTGTGCGTGCAAGAGTCCACACATATGCAAAATACACTCGTGTAGTTGTTACACAAAGAGAGAACTAAAACCCAGAGTTTACCAGTCTAGGGCCATGAGGGGACACAGCTCAGAAAAGACGCTCGGTGCCCCGTGAGGCTGACAGTAGCGATTTTATGCCTACAGGGCAGGCGCCTGCAGCCTTTACTGCAGATTACAGAGCCAGCCCTTTTTTTGTTTAGTTTTTTTTCCAAACAGTTTCTCTGTATAGTCCTGGCTGTCCTGGACTCGCTTTGTAGACCAGGCTGGCCTCGAACTCACAGCGATCCGCCTGCCTCTGCCTCCTTGAGCGCTGGGATCACAGGCGTATCTTCATCTGTCATGGTGACAGCTTTCAAGTCCAGGGCCTGAACCTGTCTCTTTCTTGTTGGGTGAATTCATTCCTAAGTAAATATTATTATTATCGTTATTACAAAAATTGTGACCATCTTCATTGGATTGTCCATTCTTAGCTGGCCAAAACGTAACTGGTTCTTTTCATGTTAATATGTTATCCCGAAACTTTGCCAAATTCACTGATTAGTTGTCTCATGTTTGAATGTTTGCATGTGCATCTACATGCAATCTGTAAGTCTGTGTGTGTCTGCCTACGAATCTATGTGCATTCTGTTGCTCTCTGTGTTTCCACGTTCATCTGTGTGTAGGGCACCAGTGTGTGAGCGTTTACACAAGCAGCTATATGTCGTTTGTCAGTCCGTGCGTGTTTGCACGTTCGGCTGGGTATGGTCTGACAACACGTGTTTTTATGGACATCTGTGAGTAGTGGATCAATCTGTGTGTGCTTGTACGCGTCCACGTGCAGTCTGTAAGTTGGTGTGTGTCTGCAAAGACATCTGTGTGCAGCACGTGAGACTATGCGTGCTAGTAGATGCATCTGTGGGCAGTCTGTCAGCCTGTGTGTGCTTGCCTGGCCGCTAGCTTATGGTCTGTTAGTCAGTCTAAGCGTAGATTTGCTCGGCTATTTATGTGCGGTGTGTCAGCCTGCGAGTGTCTGCGCAGCCATCTGTGTGTATTTGTCAGCCTGTGTGCATTTGAATATGTAGCTCTGTGCGGTCTACAAGTCTCTGTGTGATGGCATGGCTTTCTGTCTGCAGTGCCAGCCTGTGTGTGTTCACACAGGCAACTGTACGCGGTCTCTCAGCCTGCATGCTTGTGTGTGCATTTCTGTGTAGCCTGTCATACGTTGGAGACCACCTACATATACGATCGTGTCCTCTGCAAACAAATAGTTTTACTCCCTTTACGATTTGTCATCTTTCATTTCTTTCTAGTATCTAAATTGCTCCAGCTAGAATACTTAATATTACATTGAATATTGAATGTAAGGACCAAGTGAAAGCCGGTATATGCAATTTATGATTAGTTTATTGGTTATATGTTAATTTTGAACAAATAATTACAAAGAGGTAATTTTCATTCTCATTTGACATTTTCATATTTCTAATTGCTTAATCAACCTTGTGTCAACAACTGAGAAAAATAAGCAACCAAATAAGCCAAATAGGAAAGAAAAAGATCAGTCAGGCATGGTGTCACACGCCTGTAATCCCAGCACTCAGGGAGGCAGAGGCAGGCGTATCTCTGTGAGTTCAAGGCCAGCCTGGCCTACAGAGTGAATCCAGGACATCCAAGGCTACACAGAGAAACCCTCTCTCGAAACACAAAACAAAAAAATAGAAAAAGGTAACTGAGAACAAGATAATCACATACCCAGATTGCTAATTATCATTTGATTGCCACTTTGACATGACAAGGTTTGACAGCAGCTAAGAAAACAGTTAAACTATTTCTCTCTATACTTCTAATATACGCCGTCACAAAGCGTCAAAGCAACTCATGAACTGTATTTGAGACAGAAGCAAAATTATTCTCCAGCCTTAAGGAGACAAATTTGACCTCTGTCCAATTACCCGTAATAGATATTAACAGTGTAGGAAATGCGGTGAGACTTTCAGTGAGTTCAAACTGCAGAAATCAAAATCCAAACCGCATGTATCTCCACACGCGTTGCTGTTGCTTTGTTACCGTTGCTGTTGGGGGGTTGCATTGGAAAGCTAGAATTTTCGTGTTAGGATCCAAGCAAAATGAGTAAGCAGGCCTTGACTTTCTTCTGTACATAGGTAACACATAATGTTTCTCCTTGTCTTACGGGACGTTTGTGACTGTGACATATTGTGTGTTTAATTTTAGTATTGCATAAACAGAACCTGCCAAGAAGTTAACCTAGCAGCAAACGACTGCAGCGCCACCAAGAAGTGCAAGGGGAATGGGGTAAGCGGTTCTGCTGCAGTGGGGAAGGTCAAAACCGGTCCCCTGTCTTGGAGAATGGACAGCTATGAGGCTCTCCAGAGACACATCGATGTCCAGCAGATTAATATGGGAAAATCAAATGAGCTAATCTAATGCTCTTCGGTGACTTTCGTGTTTTACTTATTCTAGAAACATATTTCTCTCTTCTCTCAATTGGTTATCAATTTCAATCCAGTAATGTAACCCTTCCATTGCCTCGGCACTGCGTATTATCTCCCCGACATTGACAGGTTCAGGGCGAGAAAGGGCTTTGTTTCTTTATTTTCCTAAAAGGAAACCAGCGTGTAGTATAATCAGCAAAAGATGAATGGACTCGAATTTATCCAAATTGATTTGCATTCAATTTTACAATTTCTCTACTTGATATATCAGAAGTGGAGTGAGCAGGAGGGTTAGCGTGCAAGAGCCTGCTCTCACTTTGCATGTGCTCTTTGTAACTGCGATTGTTGGTGAGTTCTGCACCTTTCCTGTTAGGTTTTCCTCTCAATATTTCATTCTTACTACTTTCAATAAAGCAGAAAATAGCAATGTATTATTAAATTCTTGATACTCTGCTTTATTGGACACACTTAAAAATAAGTTGCTATTTATTTAGTGATTCTACCTTGACACTTTGGATTTTTCATTTGATAAAGCTTTTCTATTCATATTTATTTGTATTTCTCTATATGTATTGTGTTTCCAAAAAGATATTTTTAAAGGAAAACTAACTTATGTGGTTTTAATACTGGATTTACTTTCCTGTTCTTTGGGTTTGTTTTTCTATTTCCTTATTAATACCATATTTTCATGATTGCTGTGGCTTTTTACTTTATCTCAATCCTAAAACAAAGCTGTCCATCTTAGCCTTTCATCAACAATGCTACTGGAGGGGAAGGGAATCATCAGTATTGCCCAGCTATAAACCCTGTGGCCTGTGGAGACAATGAGCTCCCTCCCTGAAATACTGCACTGGTACAATAGTGGCACAAATATTAGGGGTGTAACCAAAGACTTCCTGATTGGATTTAAAGCCTGCTCCATGAGTTGGAATCAATACCTGACAAAACTTCCAAGAACCCGAGACTAGCCAAGTCGTGGGCCTAGGGGAAACCCTACTACTGTTACTCTGCTAAATGAACACAGCAATAAACGGACTCCGAACGAGTTACTGCTTTACCCATAGATCAGTACCGCACTCAACCCTTATCAGAGCTGTTTCTTGCAGTAGATGGGAATTAACCTAAAGACCAGCAACTGGCCAATGTACAGAGAGTGAAAAGCTTTGGAGCACCTAATACTACATGGGATATCACCATCAGCCCTTCCCTCAAGGCTCAGGGGTCTATGAGGAAGAGAAGGCAGAAAGAGTGTTAGAGAGAGAGCTGGTGGTTGACTCCAAGAGGATGGGATTTTTCACACAGAACAGCATTAATGGACATAAGAACTCACAGCACTCAGGACCAGTACAGGTTCAGGCCTGATGGGGTCCCAGTGGTAAGAGGGAGAGGCAAGACCACAGTCCACACCCTAACTAAGAAGCTACTTTCTGCAAGTGATCCCTTCTGGCAAAGGGAAACTTTTTTTTTCTTCACTAGAATGACACTGGATACATACATCTATTACAGGGGGCAGGCCCCACGTAGTTGGCCAAAGCAAAATAAACTCCCAGGTTTTATGGGGGTGGGGTTGGCTTTGGCTTTTTTGTTTGGTTTGGCATATTCATCTTACTGAATTTTTGTTTGAATTTTTGTTTTTTGATGAGAGAGAGACAGCGCGCGTGCAAGAGACAGAGAACATGAAGTTGGGTGGATATGAGCCAGGAGGAGTTGAGGGATAGGCTAAACATATTGCATCAGAATCAAAATATATTGAATGAAAACAACCTAATAATTTTTATTAAAAATTTTAATACACCTTAAAAAGAAATAACAATAAACAGAAAGCCTTCTTTTTAAAGCGTGACTAGGATTTTGTTGTAATAAGATACTTTAAAATTAAATCTTTTCTTAAAGACAATATTTAGAGGCTGGAGAGATGGGCCAGCAGGTGGAACTTGGCTGCTCTCACAGAAGACCTGAGTTCAGGTCTCAGCCCTGCCGAGTGACTCACAGCTTCCTACCACTCACACTCTAGAGGAGGGAATCTGACGCCTCTGGTCTGCACGGGTACCTTCACTCATGTGCACATCCTCACACACACCTTCAGAACAAAAAAACACCTTTAAAAGAGAACACTTTGAAAATGATTGATTCATCTCTGTGAACATAAAGATCACAGAGATGCTGGTTTGTTTGGTTTTTGTTTTGTTTATTTTTGTTGTTGTTTGGTTGGTTTGTCGGCTCTTTGAGTCATCTGGGAAGAGGGAACCTCACTTGAGAAAACCCCTCCGTCTGATCGGATTGTCCTATAGGCCTCCATCGGATCATCCTATGGGCAAGCCATCAGTGTATTCTCCTGACGAATGACTGATGTGGGGAGCCCAGCCCACTGGGGGCAGTGGCACCGCCGGTGGGGTATCCTGGATGGTATAAGACAAGGAACAAGCCAGTGGGCAATGGCCTCTGCTTCAGTCCCTGCCTCCAGGTTCCAGCCTCGAGCTCCTGCTGACAGTGGCTAGCAGCCAGCTGAGCAAACCAACCCTCTGCATTGTAAGCTACCTGTGGTCATGGTGTTTATCCAAGCGATTGAGAGCCCAGGCAGGCAGGCCACAGCTGTATTACACCTCATTTTCAGCAGATTGTTGGAGAAGATAGAAAACGTTTAAAAATACACAGTAGGAAATAGAATGTATTTATTTTCACAATTGTGCTCATTTTGCCCTTTGATTACGTCACCAAGGTTTAAATTACTTCTTCTAACCCACTTCTCATATTGTATACCCACAAAACCCTCAAAACATTCTGTATATCTCAATAACTTATATTAAACTTAACTACTAAGACTATTCAAAATGACTGCATATTTTTCCATTTTAGATATGTAATAACTTTGGTAATTGCCAATGCTTTCCTGACTACAGGCCTCCAGATTGTAACTTTCAGATCGGATCACCAGGGGGCAGCATTGACGACGGAAACATTCTCAGAGCTGGTCAGTACAAATAAGCTTCCAAAGCCAAGTAGTGTGTTGCTTCCTCTCCGTTAAACCTTTCACAGTCCAGTTACAAATAAAATTGGTACCATATTTGTAATGAGTTTTCCGAGAGGCACTCAGCCAACTTAACGAAGTCAACTAAAGAAGAATTGGGCTTATTGGTTTCAATTAACATCATTAAGTAAAAAAATTTAAAGCCATAATAATAATAATAATTCATATTATCAAACCTCAACATTCTTGAAAAGTCACTGTGGAGTATACTGTTCATTCTAAATGAGAATTAGAAAACTCTATGACAAAATATAAATGCATTCCCACCCGGAAATAATGGCAGGTCACCGTCTGAACACATGCTCACTTTTCCCTTGTTCCTGCGGCGAATAAAAGCAACATCAGAAGCTAGTTCACTCATTCACTCTTTCATACATTCCCTCCACGAGACTGTTACCAGCTGTTCGGAGAAGGACTAATGTTGAAGTCCATGTTTCAGAAAGTCTGCATATAGGCAATAACACAGAAGCTTGATAATGAAAGCAGAAAGAAAACAGAAAATTAGAACAATAGCAGCAAAGCACATGAAATGCTTGGCAAGAAGAGTATTGGCCTGTGAGTAATGGGGAGAAGCGAATAGCCCCGTGGGTAATTGGTGAGACAATACTGACGTTCCTATAAACGTGATGGAAGATCAGACGAGGTAAAGAGAAAAGGTGGACAGAACTGTTAAATGAGGCTTCATGCAAAGGGTCCCAGTCTTTTATTCACAGGCAATACTTGAATATCACAGGCAATACTTGAGTGTGAGGCTACAGATACCCCCTTTGACTGACACTGTCTCCCCCGAGCCAGTTCTGTCCACACCGTAGTCCAGGCAGCATGGAAAGCACACTAGGTTGACAGCTGCACGCTGAAGGAAGGGACGGGACGGTGAGAGCGATCCAGGTTTGGAAGCCTGCACTGCACTGCGGTTATGTCACCGGGAGAGCACGGAATAGCTTCTAACCCTGCGGCACTGAAATAAAAGGGATTCTGGTGGTGGTGTTAAAAATTATTGGGGCGGAAATTTTATTTTAAAATGTCCTCGTTTTTCATTAGTTCCTCAAAGATTTTGAACAATTTGTATTTTGATCACATTTACTACTGTCCCTTGGCTCTTTCTAGATCCTCACCCTCTTCTCAACCTATTGCACGCTCCTCCGCTGGAACAGGGTCCATGTGCCGGGGGCTTACACAATGAAAGGAACCCGGCTCTTCCTCTCCCGGCAGCTGTCAGTTGACAACTGCCTCCTTGCTGGGGGTGGGGCTTTCTGGCTCCTCCCTTCTCCATGCCAGGGGTTTGTCTGGCTTGGCCTTGCACAGATCTTGTGCATGCTGCCAAAATCTCTTGAGTGTTTGCCCTGTTGTATCTGTAAAGCAGCATTTCCTAGTCATCCATCACGTCTGGCTCTTATGAACAACCTGCTCATTTGTCTGCCATGAGCCTTGGGCCTCCGTGGGGGAGGGCTGTGATGTGGATGTCTCACTCAGGGCTGAGCATCCTGCAGTCTCTTATAATTCGCATGTTGGCCATTTGTGGGTCTCTGATGAGGATCAAAGGATATGCCAAATCTATGAGAACAATGATTAGGAGTCAGTTTAATATTATCTACGCTTAGTAGAATAATACATGTAATAAAAATATTTTAATTTGTTTATATGTTTAATGTTTGCTTAGTATGTTTAATAATTCAAAAAGGTATTTTAAATTTTTGTTGCTTTTTAAGTCCCTTGAGGATTTTGAACAATGTGTTTGGTCATTTTCACAACCCTCCCTCAGCGCCTCCTAGGCCCACCTCTGCTATTTCTATCCAGCAGTGGTGGGTTTTCCCCTAGGACCTGTGGTATTTCTAGGCACAGTTTCTTGCCCAGTCAGTGATGGTTGTAGTTCTCATGGTTCACAGCTGGTCAAGACTGACAATCACCTACCTTCTCCAGTCGTGTGCACAGTGCTTTCCAGCACGATGGACTCTCTCCAGTAGGGATAAAGCCCCCCCCCCCCGGGGGGGGGCAGACCGGCATTTGTACGTCCTGTGATTAAAGTATGTGACATCTCCAGCAGTAGGACCTTGCTGTTGCGCGCTGGGGGGTAACTGAGAGTATTGGCCACAGGCTGTAACGTTCATTGGATCTATGAGACCTCACTGGCCAAAACCTCCAAAAGAGGTACCCCATTCCTGGTTCCGAAGTTTTTATTTGTTCACTGCTGTCTCTAGGAGGGGGTTTGTCATCCCATTATCGCATTAATCTGTTTAAGCTCTGTTGTGTGAGTGAGTGTTCTAGGAAGCTTCTGCAGTAGTAAATTTCCATATGAATTTTCAAAAACCCCTTAGTGTTAGTTGTCTCGCCCCCTACCCTGGCCTCCCATCCCCCACCCACTGTAGTCCTTCCTGTTCCATTATTCCCTTTTAACCCTTTGTACTGCTGTGTTTTAGCTCCCCCCCCCCTTTAAAAGAGTCACCGCCAACACCATGGCCCTTAATTTCCTGACCTCTGTGGCTATTCCAGATGAGACACGCACATCTGCAGATTCACAGCTAATGCCTATAAAGGAGAGAAAACCCGAATGCTTGCCTTTCTGGGTCTGGGTTACCACACTCGGAATGGCTGGTTCTGATTCCATCCACTTACCCGTGAATTTCAGTTTTCTTAACATCTGAATAATATTCCATTGTTCAAATGTCCTACACTTTCATTATGTATTCGCCAGTTAGTGGACAATTAGGCTGTTTCCACGTGCTGACCAGAGTGAATAGAGTAGAAATGAGCATGGATGATCGGGTATGCTATAACAGGATAAAGGGTCTTTTGGCTAAATGTCCAAGAGTGGTAGAGCTGGATAGTGTGACTGACGAATTTCTAGCTGCTTCAGAACCATCACATTGATTTGTGTAGTGGCTGCACGATTTTGCCCTCTCAGCAGCAGTGAATAAGTATTTTCCTACATCCACGCCAGTATCTGTCATTATTCATTTTGGGGTTTTTTTGTTTTCTTAACAACAACAACAAAATCCCGTTTTGACGGGGTAAGATGCTATCAGAAAGTAGCTTTAACCTCTATTTCCCTGATGGCTAGGGATGTTGAACATTTTAAAAGTGTTTCTCAGTCACTCTGTCTGGGTCTATGCTCCATTTTAAGTTACGTTGGTTTCTCTTGGTTCAGAGCACTGTGTTGGTTTGCTTGCTTGCTGTGTATCCTAGAGTCTAACCCCTATTTGACAGACGTCTAATAAAGATTTCCTCATTCTGTGAGCTGCCTCTCCACTCAAATGATTACACTCCTCGCTGCACAGAAGCTTCTTAGTCTCATGAGGTCCCGTTTGTGCGTTGTTGGTCTCAATGTTTGCACTACTGGGCCACTAGGAAGTCCTTTCTCGTGCCAATGAATTCAACCTATTCCCTATTTTTTTTTCCTATTACCAGATTCATGATATAAGGTCTGTTGAAGTTCTTGATCCATTTGGAGTTTAGTTCTTGCACAGTGAGAGATAAGGATCTAGTACTTACAGTTATCCAGTTTGACTAACACCACTTATTGGGGAAACTGTCTTTTTTCCAGTGTGCATTTCTGGTCTCTTTGTAACAACTCAGGTGCCATTAGCATCTGGGACTTCTATGTGGGTTTCCAGTTCTGTTCCACTGATCAATGTGTTTGTTTTTATGCCAGCACCATGCTATTTTTATTACTGTGGCTCTGTAGCATAACTTCAAATCTGGGTTGGTGATACTGTCAGCATATATTTTTATTAATATTATTTTGGCTATCCTTGGTCTTTTATGTTTCCATATGAAATTAAAGACTTTTTTTTCTTCAATTTCTGTGAAGAGTTGCATTGGGATTTTGGTGTGGACTATATTGGTCTGTAGATTCCTTTTGGTAGGTTGGCCATCTTCACAATATTAATCCTACCAATCCATGAGCATAGGTGGTCTGTCTTCTAATATCTTCTTCATTTTCTTTTTTTCAGTGTCGTAAATCTTTCATTGTATAAATCTTTCACTGCCCCGGCTGTATTTATTCCAAGATACCCAGCACACACACACAGATGTGCTGTAGGTACAAAGAGGAGTTTTCACATGAATGAAATGTTAATACCAGGCAGAAAGATAATGTTTTATAAAAATGTGTTCATCTATGGAGAGCAACTTATTTAACAAGGCAGTGGATTGAAGCTTCAGAGCAAATTTTGTCCTGAATTTTCACTTAGGCTCTGTCAACACAGTAAATTCTTAAACATTTAAATAAGAATTACTAGTAAGTTATACATAAACTAAGAATTTAAATCAGGTTAAGCAGACCTAGTTCTTCCAGAATGTGTGACTTTGTGAGGGAAACCTTCAGTGTCCTTTTTTTGCAGCATTTGTCATTGTCCACAGACGCACTGCTGTGGACCTAGGGATCTCCTCCCACTTTCTAGAAGAGCCCAGAGCCCTGGGATGTAGGGAGTTTGGTCAGTGGTATCTTTTGAATTATTGATGTTACCAATGAATTACACACTCTGAGCAAATACACAACACCATAAATAAATATGCAGAAAAGATCAGTGGGAAAAAAAAATCTATGGAAAATGTGTCATGTGGTTTGGAAATGTTCTCTTATTTTCCCCCAGATACTTGCTTGCAGTTCGCCAAATTATTAGCCACATTAGGAATACATGAGATTAAAGTGACTGAAAAAGGAATTTGTCTAAGTTTCAGATCGACCTGTCCTTTCTGGCATTTCTTTTCTAGGTTCAGGTCTTGCTAAAAAACATATGGGGAAGCACGAGGACAGCTGGCTGATTCTGGGCTTCTTCATTTTTCTGCCTTTTCTCATAACTTTGATCATTGGGATCCTGAAGAGAAATGAAAGGAAAATCATGCCGCAGACAGAACAACAAATATGAGGGGTAAATACAGTCTGTAGTGTTAATTTATTTGGGTAAAGGGAGCTGGGTTTTTTAATGGTTTTGTAAGTTCATATTTATGGTCTTTAACACTTATTTTCCTCCTTAATATATACATTATGTTTTTCCAAATATAAGCTGAATTCTTATTATTTTCTTTCGCAGTACTTGAGTACCCTGGATCTCTTCCTAGTTGAGTTCCACACTGCACTGGGAGCTCAGTTCTCCAGACACAACTAAAATCTGGGCACCACTGTAACTTTTCCTCCTAGTTACGTCTAACCTGTGCACAATGGAGTTGAACTTCAAGGAAAACTTTTCCTATTGTGGGCATAATACCGACATTTTTATTAATAAATTAATTTCACAATCCTTCATATTTGTCTCATGCTATCAAAACCTTGTTTCTTAAGTGACACACTGCTTCCCCCTATCCACGCGTGCTTTCCTAGTGCTTCTCTCTGGATCGCTAGGCATTTCACCCACAGACGGCAGGAAGCTCTGCCATGCCCCAGTGCGGCACACCCGTGTCTTAGGCCTCTTGCTGTTATTTTAACAGTGGAGGGAGGGCTGTCTGTAAGGGGCCAGAGAAGGAAGCCACAAGGGGGTCTTCACAAGTAGATTCTAGGAGCCCTAAAATGCTAGAGTGAGAAATGCTGCAGCGTTACCCGACACCGCAGAGCTGTTCGCCTGACACCCCCTGACTGGACCCTTTGGTCAGGACTGCCCATATTAGGCGACCTTGACTCCCGCGGCTCATGCTTACGTGGCAGAGGCTGCGCAGTTGGTAACTGCGTGCGCCGCCATTCCAGCTAACCTCGCAGGACTGCCACTGGCCTGTTCCAAATGTGCTCGTTTGCACGCCATATTTTACTTACATATGAAGAAACTAACTGTAAAAGGGCACCCAAAGTGAGGCACACATGCCCCTATAGTTCATGGTACCTCACTCCAGCCCTCATTTTTTCTTGTCGAGGCTTCTCCCTTCTTGTTGTTTCCCCCGTAAACGAGCTTTTCTACCATGCTCTAAAGGATGAATTCACTAGCCGCCGATCCATTCCCTATTGCCATTCTGACTTTTCCACTACATTCTCAAAACGGGAGTCCATTTTAATATCACCTATAGCAAAGGACAATGGACTGTGAGATCTCCATACTCGTGAAGAGTCCCCCATGGGAGGTCAGATGGAGTTTCTGATGACCTTTTCCCCTCCATAATGACTTACTACCATAGTATGTATAACTTGTCAAGAATGAAAGCTGGATCAGCTCGTGGTTCTGGAGGACGGGAGGCAATGTTTGATGGCCCCATCAGGTTACGTCCTTCTCGATGGGGAATTCCCTGAAAAGCCCTGATATGGCAAAGTGCCTCACATAGCAAGCGAGAGGTACATCCTGGAGACACATCAAGCTGACTTTCATAAGAGACCAAATCTCTTCGAGCTCAGTAACCTGCTAATTCGTGAACCTGTGAGTGGGTTAATTCATTCACAATGTAATCACCTCTCAAAGATTCTACCTTGTTCCTGTTCTTAATGCTTAACTGTGAGGGGTTATATTTGAAAATGTATTTTGTTGGGGGCCCCATAATCTATTGCAATTGCAAATATGGTATCAACTTTGAAGAATGGTTTCCTTGGAAAGCTATTAATGGTCCATTTCGTTATGGTATTTTTTAGCTGTATACCTATTATACATATATTGCTTATGTAGAAATGGGTCATACTCACAAGAAGAGAAAAAGAAGAGGGGGAGGAGGAAGCAGAACAGGAACAAGAACAAAAAGTAAGCTTGATAGACTCCCACGATTCTTTATGGAGAAAGAGAAAAAGCAGACTTGAAAAGAATACTTGATGTTGGATGCTATTGAGGAGACTGTTAATCCCACAAACACCATACTTAATGCCTCTGCAGCGTTAGCAGAGTGGAAAGCAATTTTTTTCTTATAAAAATATATCCATTTTCCTTATGCATTACCTTCCAGTTTAACAGGCTGTGAGGTCATTAGGAAGTGATCCCTGGCTAGGAAAAATAGGATTGGGCTTTGAAAGTTAGAGGCCAGCTCTGGTTCCCACCTACTCTGCTCTCTAGTCAGTCCCCAGCCTGAGCACCCACTTTGCACTCCGGGCTCAGCAATTCCTGCTGCCACACGTTCTCTGCTGCCGTGGATTGAAGTCCCCTGAAGCCGTAAGCTCCGATCTTAATTAGGTTTTCCATGACACTGAGTATATATTACTTTAAGATAACTAAAAATGAAAGATCTGAGTGTTCATGTCTCAAGCCCTCTGGGAGATTTTAAAACCATGCTCAGCTGAGGAAATTGCTTCTATGTTTAGCATGCTGGCTGTGGCATGGTTGTTACTGGCTGCCTTTAGCCATTTTGATAGCAAAACATAATAGGGAAAGTAGAGCAGGATCGGAAAAGTTGTGGTTTTCAAGCACAAGAATATTTAAAGCCCCAAGCATGACCCATACAGACACAGCAGCTTTCACTGGAAAACATGTCAGCACTCATATACACAGATTAAAAGCTGCAATTTCAGGCTGGAGAGATGGCTCAGTGGTTAAGAACACTGTTTGCTCTCCAGAGGTTCTGAGTTCAATTCCTAGCAACCTCATGGTGGCTCACAAACCATCTATAATGTGATCTGATGCCCTCTTCTGGCATGCAGGTGTACGTGCAGATAGAACACTCATATACATAAAAATAAACACTAATTTTTAAAAAGTTACAATTGCCCCTGCCAAGTATAGTTTTTCATTTATTGTTCTTTTAAAGTAACTCTCAGCTTTCATGAATTGTTTAATTGGAAAAAAAGAATTTTGAAATATATTCAGAAAGTAATTTTATTAGAGTTTGGGAGGAAAAACAGCAGAGCAGGAAATTTATAGGAGCCGCTATAAGTTCCAGCAGCTTCCCAGGACAAAAAGGTGGAGGAGAGGAAAGTCACACACTTTGCTATGGAGATAACTATTTTTTTTTTTTTATCTAGTACATAAAAATTGGCTGACCTTAAAAAAAATCAGTCCTAATCAATATGTTTTGACAGACTGGGGAAAAATATTGTCCAAATGCAATTTTTGAATTGGCCACAAGATGTCACTATACATTTCTTGTAACAAAATGAACCAAGCAAGCACCGGTGGAGCTTAGCCTGGCCGAGTCAGCCCGCCATTCCCGACAGATAAGAATTCAAAGTTCTGCCAACTGCATCCCTAGACGTTTGTTTTCCAAAGCGTCTCCTACCTTATTTTGGCTTCTGTTTAAGTCTAGGAAATACTATATTTTATTTTTTATATGTAGATATCGCATATGCCATCCAAGCATGGATAGACAGCAGCAAAATCGGAACTTTAAATTTTGTTGCTAAATATGTAAATGGGGGTATTCCTGTATGTGTGTGTCTCTGTGTGTACGCGTGTACCTACGTGCGTGTGTATCTGCATGTTTGTGCGGGGGCACTCACGTGCTGTGTGTATACATGTGTGGATATGTGTGTGTGTATGCGTGCACATGTTTCGGATGCTGTGTATAGACGTATGTGCAATACATGTGTGCTCGTGTTATTGTGCGCTCCTGTGCTGTGTTGCATACGTGTGTGGATGTTAGCCGTCTAGGTGGAGAGTCCACCGCATCGCGTGCCACACCCAGGCCCCCAGGGCACATCCCCACCAGCAGGACCCTTGGACCCGAGCTTGCTCGGCTGCTCGGCGAGCTTGTTTTCTGCTCCCTCGCTGCGCAGGTGGTAGTCACACGTCGACGGGATGGTGCGAAGTGGCACCCGACCTGTTAGTTTTCGTTCCCACGATGCTCAGGGACACCGAGAGTTTTCTCGGCTTGACAGGCCACTGGGAGGCGGGAGCTGCGGATCCCATGCGCCGTGGTGCCGGCCACACAGAGTGAGCCGACTGTCGGGTGTAGCTGAGCTGTAACTCAAGAGCAGCGAGGACGGGAAGTTCTCCATTTGGGACACTTCACCCAAGCAAAATGTATTCTCTGGAAACGAGTAATTTTCAGGTCGAAATTTTCACCGGGGCTCAAATTACCAACCTGAGTGTTAGCTGCGGAGCGGAAGTTCGTGCCTTGTTAAGCTCTGTTGTGGCTGTGGTTCTCAGCCTCCTTGCCACCTCGACCCTTCAATACAGTTCCTCGGTTGTGCTGATCCCTGGCCATGAATCTATTGCCGTTGCTCCTCATGTCTGTGACTTTGCTACTGTTATGGATCGTAGTGGAAATATCTGTGCTTTCTGATGGTCTTAGGTGACTCCTGTGGAAGAGTCATTCATCCCCACAGGGGCCTCCACTTGCAGGTTGAGAACCATTGCTCTCCTCCTCACGAGTGAACTCTATACACACACAAAAGGTGTAATCTCCACTTGCTTCCCTAAACCACAGCTTTTCTCCTAAGAAGTAATGTGTGCTAAACAGCTGACCAAGAGACACATCCCTGTAACCAGGACTTGGCTCAGGCAGAAGCAAGAAGATGGGGCATCATAAAATCTACCAGTGTTTGAAACGAAAGAAAGAAAAAGTTCAAGCTTAGGAAAAGGAATGTGTCCTAGTTGTTTCGTGGCTGTAATCTGTTTGCCCTTAATGTAGACCATAAATACTAAATAATACCATATATTCTGTTCTCTCTTTTGTACTTCTTGGATAGTCCCCTAAGAACTGAGCTGGTTACTATTTAATGTTTGTGTGTTTGAAAGCAACTTCCGGTAGAAACCCAGAGGCAGGTCTGGCTCTTGCCCTGACTGTGAATTTCTCTTTTCCTCTTCATTACAGCAATTCGCTGCATCAGAAAGCTGCCAAGGAGTTTAGCAGTGAATGGCCCAGAGGAGGAAAACTGTGGTCCAGTCTGTTACCCCTGGATAGAGTTTAAATCTCAGGCCTTTGGAAAATAAAGCTGATACATGTGTCAGTGGAGGCTTCTCTGTGTCTCTTCAATGGCTGTGGGTAGCAGGACAAGTGGTGGCAAGTGCTGGGGGGGGGGACTGTCCAA